AAGTAATGTTTCTTTCCCTCTGTAGAGTCAGTTGTAAGTCTAGTAGCTGGCTCAAGGGTTTGCTGTGAGTAAAAACAAATAATCTGCATTAATTATTCCTAATTAAACCCCCAAAAATTATTATTGAAGCAAAAATAATTCACCAAACTGGAAGACAGCCACACACTGTACTTACTAAATACCAACAGAGTGCTCTCAGCATTTTCCTCAAGCAGAGCTCTAGAAACTCCTCACCAGCTTCTGTGAAGCTGCAGTAGGACAATGCTAGTATCTTTATTATTATTAGGATTTAAATTAATCATATTTCATTGTACTTTATGAAATACCTGTAAAAGAAGTGATTACTAACCACAAAAAAAAGGTACCAATAACTGTTCTCATCCTTCCCTGCTCATCCAGGAGAGACTTTTATCACCAACATTATCACTTGTTGCCAAACAAGTACAGAGATGTTAGCCCGGAGGATGAAATAGTTTAATCATGGGGAAACAATTTGCAGTGCACAGATCTCAGCTGGTTCCCTTTCATCTGCTCGCAGTTACTCAGCGACTCCCGAAAATCTGTTTTGTAGCTGTAATAAAATTCATTCGCCACTCTCGCACGCACACACCAAATGGTTTGGCTGATTCTGAAGTGTTACAATCACCTGGAACAAAGACAGGATTCATAAGTTTTCAGGGGGAGTATTCTGGGGTTTTTAAATCACATAAACATGATATTTGTCTTTCAAGAAATAAAGAAAGCAGAGATTACAGATGTAGGCTGCGGGTTTATCTCTAGATTTACAACATCCACGTGATGATATCATCCACGTTACACGTGTGATCTCACTCTCCATAGAGAGGCACTTTGGCTATTAAAAACCAAGAGTTACATTTATTCAGTAGCTTTTGCTTAGCATGACCAAACCCCAACAATTACTTCTTGGCAATTTTTTGCTGGAGTTTAAATAATTTTACCTTTGCCAGAGCTGTCTATCAACTTCTAATTTGCTGCCTGAGCAAGCCTGTTTCTTAAACTTTGATTAGACTGGCAATATCTTTTGTAATATCTCTTAAGAAAGTGCCCTTTAACACTTTAGAGCCCTGCACATCCGAATTCGAGCAGTGGAAATACACGTCTAATGTTTTTCATATTCTCTTATCTCTTCCTGTCGCACAAAAATGATTTTGCTGAGCGCAGATAAGATCTCTCTGTGAGCACAAAGCTGTGGGGTTAATTCAGTGTTCCTCGCCCTTCTCAGGCTCAGCTGCCGTTATTGTGGTCGTGCAGCAGCCAAAGAGACTCGGGGAGAGCCAGAGCTTGGTTTGGGGAGCTCGGGGAGCTCTGAGAGCCACAGAGACAGCAGGGCTGCCAGGGATGGGCATCTGGTGGCCCTGGTGAGGCAGCAGAGCCCTGGGGCTGGCTGTGCCTCCTGGAGCTCCCTGGCTGCTCCTCCAGGCCCTGGCACAGGTGTGGCTTCAGCTCCTGGCAGAGGGGACAGCGAGGTCCCGATGCTCCGGGCCGGTGTGTGGGGTGAGGAAGGGGGAGCTGAGGTGGGGCTGGGGATGGCTGGTGGTTCTGAGAGCGGTGTTTGCTGTCAGGACAGCTGCCTCTATCCCAGCCCATTCCCCTGGTGTCTTTACTGACCCTTGAGGTGCCACATTCCCAGGGAGAGGAGCTGGGCAGTTCTCAGCTGCAGGCCAGCCTCACTGTGCTGTGCAGTGACCAGAGCTGGAGCAATCCAGCCACGGGCTGCTGGAATCCCTGATTCCCTCCCTAAGGCACAGCAAGGCACAGCTCCTCCACTGGGCATGAGAGGTGGCCCCTTGCAGACCCTGCCAGCCCTGTCCATCAGCTGTGACCTCCCCTGTGCTCTGCACAGCCCCAGACTCCAGCACCCACGGAAAGCCCACAGTGCTCATGCAGGAAGGGAAGAGCAGAGGGAAAGGACCCAGTGTTGGCTGAGGACACTCACAGTGCTCATGTCCTCCCTCAGCTGGAAAATCCCTGGGCAACCTGGAGCAACCTCGCTGCTCCCTTTGCCTCAGTTTCCCTCTCTGTGCAGGAAAATGTGCGGATTTCAATGTTTCCCAACGCCAGCACGCTGTTGTGACACATCATATTCAGCTACTCCCTAATGGGGACAATATAAATTCCATAGCTGCTTTATCTGATCCAGCAGTCATGAGTCTGCCTGTCGGAAAGCTGCTGCTGCTCTTGATAAGGAAACATTCCTGCTCCAGAAATTCCTTCTTGAGGGAAGAGCGAGGAAGGTCTCAGTCATGTCCTGCTGAGCAGGTGCCTGGGCAGCAGCAGATTCACGGTCACATCCCTGTCCTGGCCAGATTTGTGCATCTGGAAATGTGCCTCGAGGTCCCTGCAGCAGGGGACAGTCCCTTGGCAGGCACCTCCTGCCATTGCTGCAATGCCAAGGTAGCCCTGGAGCCCAAATTGGTGTCATCCCTTCCCAACAAACTGGGTAGGAATTATTGCTCTCATGGCTTTGGTTTGTGGTGTTTCTTTAAAGCAAAACAATGGAAATTAGTGATTCCAATCTCGTTTGAAAATTAGATTTTAGTGTGATTGAATATGCACAAAAGCCCTTGACTTTAGGCCCTGCAGTACCCCTGAGTACCCCTGTTCATTCTGGGGGGCAGCTGAGGCTGCTCAGATCCAGAGGTGCCTCATTACCTTCTGTGGCACACTAACCAAGAGCTCCAGAACACACATCTCCCCCTCCACATGCAAACAAAAACCAGCTTTCTGGGTTACAAATGCCAATGGCAACGCTGGCAGCCTCCCAGTGATGCCAGTGCCCGTGGAAATCCTTGGGAAATGCCTTTAGTGCTGCTCCTGTCAGCTCTGGCACTGCACGAGAGCTTCTGAGCCACACAGCAAAGGCACAGGGACGTGGAGTTTTTGTGTTTGTTCTCCCCTTCCCTCCCCACCTTCTCATTTCATCCCACCTCCCCACAGCCAGTCCTGCAGGGTTAATTCAAATAACCTGTTTATTACTTCAGCAGTTCACAAGAAACATTACTTGTCTAGTTCTGTTTATAGAGCATGTAATCATTAGAATAAAATAACAACAAAGATCAAATCACCATCTGTATTTAAAAGTGACCTCGAGTCTTTCCTGGGACAGAAATACTGCTGTGAACATCTCAGAAGCTTTGGGGACCTCAGCTAAAATCTTTTCCCTTTTTAACAATGCACATCATTAGCTTTTGTTAGGGTGGGCTTTGCTGTGTACAGTTATTTATGTTTTGTTGCTATGGTAGTTGCTTCTGGTTTTGAAAGGTGGGGATGTTTTGTCAGTCAATTGGAATCAGATTAATTGAGCTCCTTCTGATATAAAAGTATCAAATCAATGCAGTGTTCACCTTGTAAAATGCACTTTTTTTTTTTTTTTTTTCTGGTTTGTTTAATGCCTCCTGAGATTAGATGCATTAAAGTCCACGTGGAACTAACTTTTCTTTCTCTTCTCACCCCCACACTTCCCCATATGTGGTTTTGATTTTCCCCTCAGGGTACCTATGGGAGGTCTGGAAAACTCTTGGGAGCTTTCAAAGAATGTTAATATGTATAACACTGCATTTTCAGTTTTAAATACAACATGTAAAGACCTTTCTTTTTGAGGATAAACAAGGAAAGCTGCTAGTTAAAAACTATTTGTAAGGAAAAGTTCCCACTTACCATAAAAAAGCTTAATAACATTTAATTGTATTTCATAGCATTTTGCACCCATAGTATTAAGCTTTTACAGTTCCTTGTAAAACGTCTGGGCAACACTGACTTTTAATTCTTCTGAGCTGGTTTTTAACTCTTCTTGATAAGAAATTTCTACCTAATGGTCCAGTACAGCATTTTCTATTCAAACCTTGAGCATTCTGTTTGCCTGAGAGCAGGATCTGGCCCTGCTATCTCCCTGATCTAACAATCCCCATCCCTGCCCCATGCTTGCTGTGAGCACCGAGATTGAGATTGCAATCACAAGTGGGAGCAGAGCTTTTTGCCATAAGTAATTCTTCAGATAACAAGAATAAACATTTATGAGATCAAACTCTGAAGCACAAAGACCCAGCACCTCTGGGTAGATGGCGATTTTGTGCTGGTGATCAACAGGCATTAAGTTATTGGTTATAGCTGCACTCCCTCATTTATCCTCACTTGAAGAGTTAGCTGGGCAGTGCTTCAGATAAAGACTGTGAAATTTGATCACTGGAACTAAAATGGATGGCTTAGCTGCCTAATCTCCTCCATCCCGTTATCATCAGCTCCCAATCCCCTCCCCACACCATCCTCAAAATTGGGAAATAGCCCCAGACTTATGGGAATATGCTGCTGGGTTAAAGTAAACAGCTCTCACAGACTGTGTGGCCCCAACCACAGCCCCAGGTGGAGCTGGTGGGAGCCCCAAAGAGGGAACATTAACTCTGGGGGAGATTGTGGCAGGTTTGTCTGTGGGATCAGCTTGTTCAAGTTGATTGTCTCCATATCTGAAAGCATCTGATAATATATTGCTAATTTGTATAATCTGCCTTTATCCCAGCAAATTGCCTCTGGAGGCTGAATCCTGGCAGCCAGGGCAGAATTTGAGAATTTGAGGCTCTGAGCTCGGCCATCAGTGCAGCACAAACCAGGAGAGCAGAGCCCCAAACGCTCCCCTGCCACAGACATGGGGCTGCCTTTGGGGTCTGCTTTGCTCTCCCCCAAAACAGACCATTTCTCACTAATGCAAATGAAGGTAACTCATTTTGCAGGATTGGTTATTGATCCCTTCCCTGTGGATGCACTCGAGGGGAGGGAGCAAGGCCAGATGTGTTTCCTTTGTGCTGGGTTTCTCTTCACCCAGAGCCTGGTACCCTCCTGCTGCTTGCAGAGCCAGCTGCCCAGCCTGGAAATGCACCAGCATTGCTGCTGAGTGTCATTCATGGAACTTCCTTTACCACAATCACTTCATCTGAAGGAAAAAATAAGTTTACTGCTGACATGACAAGTCCCTTTTTCATCCACAGATCGTACTGAGCTTCACAAAGGGGAAAATGATCCACGTGATAAAAATATGTAAGATAAGTACAACTAAAATCCTAATTTAATATGGTGGTTATTCCATGCTGCAGGAGTACACAGACACATAATATCCCAGATTTTGAATGTATTAGCTGCTGAAAATATTTTTAGGAAAAATAAAAAAAGTCCTTTTCCAAATTGCTTCAATCTCTTTGTGAGAGAAGATAACAAAGTGGGACAGAAAGCAAATGCATTGGGTTAAGAATCTGAACCTCTGGAATTCCAGCACTATAGGTTTATGATTAGATTTTAACTGGAGAATTTATTGGGAATATTGATAAAGCATCCCCATCTCCATTGTGTACTAATGCACTTCCAGCAGCACCGAGCTGGTGCTGATTAAGGCTGCTGGGATTATCTGGGATGTTATTTGAGGGGTTTGCCAGTTTGCCACTGGTCTGTCAGCTCTGGGCTCCTGCCTCTGCCTGGGGACAATGGCTGTGCTCTGGGCAAGGGGGGAAATCTGGCTGGAATATTGGGGGGGGACTGGGGCTTGGCTTTGGGCTTCACATTGAGGCTTCAGGACTGCTGTGAGTGAGGAAATGATGGCCTAATTTAATATATTATTGTTATACCTTATGCATTTCTTCTATCTCATTTCAAATCCAATGTCCTCTATCCAAAAAGAGAAACCTCTCAGAGCCTGCACTGCCCATCCCCCTTACCCAGCCAAGGACATATTTAAAACTTAAGGGCAAATGTTCCATAAAACACTGCCCAACCCTTTGCAAATTCTCTGCATAACTCTCACATGCATCCTCTAACTTTAGTCCTTCCCTACTCCAAAGTTGTAATTTGCCCTCCAGTCCTTTTCTGTCTCCCTCTCTCTCTTTTTTACAATCTCTGAGATGGCAATTAGCTGGAGAGATGCACTTAGAGCTTCTCTTCAATCACAGATCCCTCCTCTCAGGCTCTCTGCTGCTCTATGTTAATTTAAATCTCCTTTTGCATGAAGCATCAGGCCAAATTCTTTAATTGTTCCCTCCTTATGGGTGATTTGGCTCATGCTTCCCACCCATGGCTGTGGTAACCATAGTCCCAAAGGTGAACTGGGATGAGGTTTTGTTAAAGAAAATCCCCGGGGGCAGAATCTGTAAAGCTGAAGAAAGAAATAGCAGTACTAGAGCTGACCACCTTTTCTCTGATAGACCTACCAGTCGACATTGTCTTTAATGTCTTTATTTGTCTAAATGTCTTTAACTGTCTAAAATCTGCATTTTAGAAGTGCCTGAGCTGAGGCAAAGCCAGAAAGTTCCATCTGATGGATGAGGACAAAGCCAGCAATGATGTGGAGCCCAGAGGTTTGGAGCATTTGCTGCCTGAGCCATTATTCAGTTTTTCCCTGGGTGATCCAGCACCACCTTCCCTTCTCCTGCAGCTCCTTCGGGTTTGTGGATTTGGTCTGAAATACATGCAGGGGATATCTTGAGTGAAACACTTCTCCTGCTGTGAAGCTCAGCTCTGCTGCCTTTAACTCTTTAACTCTTAAACAGTTTTAACTCTGTCAGTGCACATCCCAAGGCGTCCCCTTTGCCCTCCACACAGAGCAGGCTGAAATAAAATGGGACAGAAAGATGAGGCATCAGATATTGAGGTACCAAACGCTCTGGAGCAGCACGAGATGCCCTTGAGAATTTGAAGGAGGCTGTGCCTGTGTCCATGCCAGCAGTCCTGCCTGGAAAATGGTGCTGGGCCTGGTGGCTGCAAAGCCAAAAATTGGGTATGACACTTTCCTGCCCCTCAGACTCCGAATTCCTGCTGCTGTGTATTTAGCATCCCCCTCGTGAAGTTAAAGCCGCTCATAAAAGTGTGAAGCAAAAAGTCCAAACTTACATGGGGACTGTTCCATTTTCTCTGTGTGGCCATAATGGGGTTATTTATGGGACATGTAGGAAAGATTAAAGGTTTTCATAATAAAGGAAGGCGAGAGCTCAAGAACTGGGTGCCTCCTAACAGCACTGACTCTCAAGACAGGATAAATCACCCAAGCAACCATTAAAACTTCAAGAAGATTGCTTGTAAACCTCCAAGCCATGCCAATAAAGCATATTCCTTGCCACGGAGCAGCCCAGATGGTGGAGCTCAGCAGTTTTCAGAGCTCAGGACTCCTCAGTTTAACCTTCCTGTCCCTCTCCTCAGAGGGCACGGTGCCAATGAACCGCTGTGGAATCCATGGGATCTCCAAATGTGGGATCACAGGGACAGCAGGCTCGGGAGGAGCGACCCTCCCAGTCAGAGCCCACCTCAGAGCTGGGCTCCACTTCTGCCCCCAACAACTCCGGGCCATTTTTCATTCTGCTGCTTCTTGGGGGTCTCCCATCATAACACAGAGACACATTTTTATGGGCTTCAGGAAGTCAGGAAAATATTTCAGTGCCCTTCAAGGTTCTGGTTCATTTGCATTTTAGAAAGTCAAGTCTGCCCATTCCTTCCACTCTGAAAGACCAAGTGAAAAGTGCAATAAATCACAGTTTAAGCTTGTGTGTGGCACAGCATCAGCCAGGGATCCTTCCCCAAGTCCTGCACCAGAGAAAAGCCCCAAACCAAAATTTTTGTATCATTTCTCCTCATCCATTTGTTGCTTAGTTGTCTGGTTGGGATTTGTTCAGTTGGTTTTGCTTTGTGTCGGTTTTTTCTTTCCCATTCCTGTTTCAGGAAAATCTCACCCAGATTTTGAGCTGAGACCCCATGTGCTCAGGCTGGACAGAGGCAAGTGCTGAGGAAGGTGATGAAGGAGTTAATCTGGCCCAAGAACAATTCCCAGAGATGGATCACGCCTGGTCCAAATTCTACAAGTGGATTTTCCTCACGTTTCATTTCTTTTTCAAGCCTTGCTCAAGAGAAGTAACCAGATCCAATTTTCATGTTAATTCTTAAACTTGACTTAAGAGAGGAGTAGATTTATGAAGAGTCTTAATTCTGCAGACTGCAGGCTCCCCATGGGGGTGTTCAGAGATTTTCTGGGGAATTCTGGTAACAGACTCAATTCCCACAACAACAGCTTGACTCTTACTGGGGGATTTCTGCTGTTGTTACATAATAAATCACAGTTCTCATAATAAAAATAAGTGGAATCTACCAATATTCAAACCATTGATAGTTAAGCAACTGTTCAGATTTTGGGAAGCATTTTTTTTACAGACAATATAAGAAAGTCTTTCTGGGAGACAAATTAAGTAAATACCTCATAAATAAATTACCCCTGGTCACCCGCTTAAATCAATGGGAGTAAGAGAATGACAATCAGTGCATTGTCATTCTGCTTTTTCATGGAGTAATTCTAAAGCTGTGCAGGAGGAATTGTCTTATTCAGTTGAAATCCATGGAACTTTGTTCAATGAGTTTGGTGCAAAATGGATTTAACAACAGGAGGAGATGGACAGGAAGCTCCTGTCCATACAAACCAGGCTGTCACAGTGTCCAAAACAACCTTCAGATTTCCCATTCACCACAGGCTGCCCGCAGGCCTGGCTTTAAAATAATAAATATTCCAATCCCCTGAATGAAGGAATGAAGGACAATTTAGAGGAGCTAGAAAAACATCTCTAAAAATTAGGTGATAATGCCATCAAGCCAAAAACCTGCCTCTATCTGGGGAGGAAAAATTAAGAAATATCAGTGCCAAAACTCTCAGAGGTGACTTGGGTAGCAGACAGGAGCACTGGGATGGGCCCAGGGGTGCTGGGGGCCATGGAGGTTACTGGGAATTTGCCTCCTGAGCAACTGGAGCTGTGCTGGTGGGGAAGGGGGGAGATGTGTCTGGGAAACCTCAGCAAAGCCCACCCTGCTGCCCCTCATGGCTTGCACTGCTCCAGGAGACTCGAGTCCAGCACTTGGCACCTGAGTGGGGAGAGAGTTTCCTGTCTGGAGACACCAAATTGTGTCTCATGGGTGGCCAAAGTGCAGCTTCTTTGTCTGTGCGAAGGTCAAAAGCGCTGAAGCATCAGACCTGCAGTCACACCAAAGCAGGAGAAGTGAATTGGAGTATAAAAAACTGGCTGATGTCAGGCAAGGCCATGAAAATCTCACCCCTATTTATTTCTGCTCCCTTACTCCCCAGATATTTGTGTGTTGCCAGCACAGGTCGTTATCTGACTGGGGTTTTTTTTTAAAGTTTCCTCCCAGAAATGCCCATGAGATTTGAAGTTAGCCTGGAAATCTTTCAAAGGACCCCAAAGATAACTGTGCTGGGTCTTCTATTTCATTTCCATTTTATGGCATCTTTTTATATTCTGCAATAGCCTTTTCTGAATAAAAATGAGACAGCCTCTTAAGAGGCCTTTTTATTATTTGCATTTGGCAAAAACAGCCTTAATGAGCTGTTAAGAGTCATTCCCCAGTCCTATTGTTGGCGATGCATGGGAGCCTGTAAAGTGCTGAAAAGCCAAAAGACAATTTATGATCCCTGATGCTATCCCTTCCTGAGACAATCCCACAGAAAGGAAGATATCTGGGGAGTAGGAAGTCCCATTATTTAAATGCCTGAGTAACTTTTACTGGAGTCATAACTGTGGAATTTGCTATTTTCATTTCAGAGCTGCTGTGTTCCCTGGAGAGGAGCAGTGAACAGGGGATGGGTGAACAGGGGAGAATTCCCCATCCATTCCCAGCTTGGAATAAACAGCACCAAATTCCAAACAGGCACCAGTGGCTTTCCCAAAATCCCATTTTTGTGGCAGCAGTTCTGAGCTCAGCACACGGGATGGGGAGGGCAAAGGAACCCGAATTTCCTCAGGTTCAACCAGGGTTACTGTTATAAATGCAAAGGCAATTTCGGGTTATATAAAAGAGAAAATTTATTATCAAACAATAATAAATTCGAACAAAGAGAAAAAACCACAATAAAATAAGCAGCGCAGCGCTGGGTGGACAGGGTCTATACGCAAGGTATAGATGCTCCCAAATCCACGCCTGAGAGTCCTTTGGCCTGGGTTTTTATAGGAAGTTTGTGTCCCGAGGCCAAATTCCAAGCAGGCACCCTTTGCTAAGAGGTTCTTGATTGTTCGAAGAATAGATTTCCTGGCACTGGAGAATAGAGTCAATAGATGCTGGGCAGAGGCTCCTCATATGTAAAGAGGTCCAGGATGTCTTTTTGATATCATTTTGGTCCGGGCCATTAGGGTGGAGTGGTGGGAGCCATCCTGGAGCCGATGGCTTATCTCGGCTGGCTCCTCTTCCTTTGTCTAGTTTCTCCATTTCTCCAGCACAGGTGGTCAGGGCGGAGATGCTCGGGCTCGGCGATATCTCGTCCGGGCCCGTTCTTTTGTTCGTTTGATGGCCCGTGTCCTGCCCATTCTTTCGGGGCTGATGTGCCTGCTTGCGATTGTTATCTGGGTGCTTGGCTGCAATCTGTTGCTTTGGAAGAGAAATCCTGCCTCGACTTGGAGGAGGATTTCTCATTCCATATTTTCATCATTTACAATCACATATACTTTATTTAAACCTTTTCTTTCGAATTTTTATTCATCCAATTCTTTATTACAGTTACTGAGCACCACAAAATAACCACCCGAAGGGTTTCTCCGGGCTGTGCACACAGGATGGGATGCTCTGGGCATTGCTGGCCCTCGGAAGGGAG